CAGTTGATCTGAATATATATTGTAGTAAAGCAACAAATAAAACTTGTTCCTTTGTTTTAAAATAAACTGCAGGTATGCCATTTCAGAGTGCAACTATTTCTTGAGTAAGTTTGGGTTTTTTTCCCCCCTTCCTTGTCTATTTATGCTTTTAGCCCTTTTTAAGGGGCTCAAGAGTTGAAACCAGCTTGAGTGACATAAACCCAAGCACCTCACAATCTATTTATCTTTTAGTATTTTTCTGGGAAGTTGAAAGTGATGGAGAGGCATAGCTGGACTTTGTGGATCTGATGCACTGCCTACTTTGGTCACTTTTACTATCATTTAATTCCATCGGTTCCTGTGAATCTGCACCTTTCCTATGCCCCTGTAAAGCTGAGAAGATTTACTCCTGTATTAGCAGCAGTTTAAAGGAGTTTATCCCCTGCAGCAGCCATATTCACTGACAGAAACAAAATGTACCGTAGCACCTTCACTAGTGCAGACTGTCATGCTAGGTCTTCTATTTATAATGAGGTTTGTACTTATAAAAGGAGACTATTTGTCAGCCCTAAAATTGAAGCTGCCTTTTTACGTAGTGATGCAGAAACTGTAGTTCACCAAGGTGCTAGTGAAACTCTATGGGAACATCATGTAGGGTAACGGAGTTGCTAAATCCTTTTTGTCATTCAGCTCTTCTGCTTTCTAGAGATAGCCAGCAGCTGTGCCAGCTGTGTGGGATAAATCTCTCTTGATCTTTACGCCAGTCAGAAAATAAAACAAGAGTGAGAACATCTGCTTCCCTCAGTCAGTAAAGAGCCATTGAAATCTAAGAGAAGCTGACTTCTTCCAACTTTTGTCTAACTGTCTGGAGCTGGAAAAAGCTATTCTGTAAACTGGTTTTCTGAACCATTTGATTTTCCTCAAATGTTTAAAATAGAGGATCCTAAAAACTCGGAAAGGAGTAATTTGTCTTCCCCTGTCCATCAACACCTCCCCTTTGTGGTTCAGGTGAGCAGTTCTGGGAGTGGAAAAGAACCCATGAAGAAATGCAGCAACAAAAATGATGTTAAGGTCTGTGTGGCTACAAGGTTTTTTGTTGGTTCTTCTTTCACTCTAAGCTGTTCTCCCTTAGTCTGCTTCCCTAGTCAAGCTTTTCTAAGAAGGGAAAGTTTTCCCCTCAAGGCATGCTCAAGCCCACTGTTGTGAATGTTAGCTTAGTCAATGGTGAACTTTAAAATGTGTTCGTAGTTGGTTTTGTCAGCTGATTAAAATGACTGGATTTTCTGCTCAGACCAAGAAGCTTAAAGAAGCTTGATGTTTCACACCAAAACTGAAAATGAAAAATTTTTTAAACCTTTTTTTACTTCATGTTAGAGCACAGCCAAGCCCTTTCAAATTTTAGCATGAAATGGATTTGGTGGTCTCAGTTTGATCTGTATTATTCAAGTGATTAAAATTTAAAAAGACTATAGCATCTTTTTGGTGCTCTTACCTTTCTGGTTTTGATTCTTTTCATACATACTTTTTACCTCACTCTAAGACCTTGGATCACTGTTCTGACCAGGTTTTTACCTCTTATTACTTGTAGACAGTTTTCTGATGCAATATGAAAGCATGTCAAGTTAAGACTGAGGAAGCCATTTGTAGGGTGTTTTTTAACCCCTCTTCTCCTCAGAAAGAATATAAGTAACATCAAAAAAAAAAAAAAATACCAACAGCCTGGATGTATTATGCTAGAAATGGCTTATCTGGACATCAGGGCACATGTGAGTTCCACCTTTAGCTTGGAAGATTTTGAGGTTTAATACTATTGTGAAGTCCCTTAAGAGTATATGTATTGTGTGTTTCGACCAACTACCAAGAAAGCAAATACACATTTTTTGGCATTTTACTTCTACTGGCTTGAAAAGCAGAAATCTATTGCCCTTTTGTCTTCAGTCCTTCCATTCTTTTTTTTTTTTCCCTATCTTCCAGAAGAAATCAGAACTAAAAGACCCTTCTCTCTCTCTCTCTCCCCCCACCCCCCTGCTTTGTATGTAGATATATGCAACCATTTCTCCTTATTTGCATCTGAACACCGTAGACTTTATATCCAAATCTTGCATTTTGCTGACTTGTTCTTTCTTGGCTCTGTTAATTTTTTTGCTTCTTTACTAAAACCTTTATCAATTTTCTAATTTAAGCTATTTTGATTCTGCCATGGTCTCTTCCTTGTTGTATTCTGTTCTCATTTTCTTCTGTGTTTGAATGTAATCAGGTGACTTCTAAAACAATGTTCCTTAAGCGTTTGTCCTTTCATCTGTTCTGGTTTTCTTTGGGTTTCTTAATTTCTATTTTTACGTCTTCTCCTTCTGTCTTACATGCTACTGATCTTTCTGTGCAGCATTTAAAAGAAGTATTCAGTTATAAGGTGATCCTGCGTTGTCTTCCTTTCTACATCATCTTCTACTTCTTCAGCACCTTGGTATCATGTCTTACTCTGCTCCCCTTCACAGTTACCTTCTCTGCCTGGTGCTTGCCACTGTCGTTCTGCTGTTCATGTTAGTGGCTACCCTTTGCCATCTGAAGTCAACAAAAACGTCTCTTTCTGTTATCAAGTGTCTTCATACATCAGAACATGATTGTTTGCTGTTTCCTATTGCATCTTAATTACCAGTTATTTTGTCAGTATACCAACTTCACCTATCCCTTCATTTTGTTTCTATACTCCTGTTATATGATTTGTACATTACTGCTCCTTGCACTAGAACCTGCCCTTTCATTTTTGTTTATTCCCGTTTTTAAGGTCTTAAGTATGCATTTACATATATTTACCTGCCAAAAACCTATCATATGCTCATAAAAACACTTTTCGTAAGTTGAATTTATTTAGAATATTCCAGTCTCTTGTCTTTATTTGAAGAAAGATCTTAATTTCTATTGTTTGGTGTTCAACATAATGCTGAAGCTTAACAAATGCTGTCTTGTTCAAAAGAAGCCTGTTCTGTGCTGTAATACTAACTAATAAGTACCTACAACTTTCTATTTCTCCCATTCCAGAAGAACAGAAGGAAGGGTGTTGTATCTAAACCCTTTAATTTTCTGTAAAAATATTCAGTAGGGATAAAGGAATGTCTGATTAAACAGTGTAACTTGGTTTTGTCTTTCATATAACACCCTTTAATCTTTGTACAAAGATTGACCCGTCTTCTTGAAAGGAGCAAACTTGGATAAGAATGTCATATGGCCCTGCATAAAGATCTGGATACTACAAAGACAAAACTCCCTTGGTTTTCTGAAAGAGTTTAGGAAATGAAAACACCAAACTTCTGAGAGATCATAAACAGTATTTGTCATCTTCTTGGCTTGACCTGGAATGCATCTGTTAAAATTTGCGACTTGGTATCACAACAATTACGCATTAACAGAGTTGGTATTTTGTGATTATATTTAGGTAGCGTATAGAGAGTTAGAGAAATATTTCTGAAGAAAATTAGTGATGAATTCCATATGAAATCTGCATGAAGTGTCTGAAAACAGGCACAGAGTTTTCTTGATAACGAAAGCATCTGTTGACCTTAGTTTGGGGAGAAAAGGAACTGGCTTGGAATATTTCACAATTCAAGTGAAGTGTCTACTTCTTGTATAAAATTGACTTTAGACCCTGTAATAAACATGTAAAACTTCCCAGGAAATTATTTCTCTTGTAGCATCGACAAGGAGATTCTCTTTATACATAGGTAACAGTCCAGCTTTGCATTCATGCCCCATCAAAATTGGAGACTTTTTTTAGCTCTGCTTTCCTTCCTGTGCCTTGATAGTTGGTCAGAGGCCTTTCAATGTGTGTGTGTGATCAGTCACTCATCATCAGAGCCCAGTGAAACAGCTCTTCCTTATGGACATTTGAAATAAAGCCAGTCTTAGCAAGGAGATTACTTGCAAGAATTGCCAACAAATTAGATGGATTTTTTAGAGTGGATATGAAGTCTGGTTAAACAAACATTTCATTTCTTTTAGCAGCTGATTGACTGATTCCAAATGAAAAAGCTGTACCATCTGGTCCTTGGAAAACAAAGAAGCATTACGCATTCCTTTTTAAAAAATTTGCATAAAAAAATATTTATATAATTTACCGGTTATATATATATACCAATTTATATAAATTACCAGTTTAAATTATCTATGCATTAAATTATTTAATTTATTCATGTATAATACACATAACTTGGTAATAGTCATACATTTCAAAGAAAATATGAGAATTACTAAAATAGCTTCTATCTACAATGCTTATTATTGTGTCTGAGCTATTCATCATAACACAATTTGACAAGCAGTTTTACGACTTGAAATAGAAAGCAGTATAGAGAGGTAAAGGAAAAATTGAAACAAAACCCCCTGCTAAATCAATTAAACTTCTTCCAGTAAATATTGTGACATTTTAGACCTTGCTGGAACAGAGTATTAGTTATATAGATATGTAACAGAGTAACTGTAGAGCTGTGTAGAGACAGGTATTACACATAGTGAGAAATTTTACAAGTTTGAAACTCAGTGTTATTCTGAGTTGTAATAAAACCTGAAAAATTCTAAAATTTACAGAGGGAAAACTCATAAGCTTTTTGGTGTATCTCTTGAAAGAAAGCGAAAGAGAAAAGTATGTTGGATCAATAGAAGTGTCTCCACATATGATGTAAAACTTAAACCAGTGTATAAACAAAGTTCTGAACCAAAGTATTTTCAAAAACAGTTTAAAGATACTCTTGAAAAAGTTTGGTTGTTCCTCCCCCCACCCAAGTTGTTGGAATTCTCTTCCTATTCTGGCTTTCTCTCATATGCCAAACAATGAAGTTGTGTGCCTCAAGCTTTTAATCACTTCTGTATCTTTTGGAAAGATGCTTTGTTTTCTGTGAATGTCAGTGACATTACTTTAATCTCAAAGGTATGGTTCTTGATATATAAATAAAGTCAATTTATTGTCATTATGGATTTTTTGCTCCAGGATATGAAGATCCTTATTGCTGTGTTTTATTTCATTCCAGCTATTTATGAGCTCTCTTGTGAAGCATACAAACACTTGGGCAAAACTTCAAATTACTACTGGATAGATCCAGATGGCAGTGGGGCGCTGGGACCTTTGAAAGTTTACTGCAACATGACAGGTAACTGCATTGTATTTGCTAATTCAATATTTTTTTAATGTAGTTGGGAGAAAGAGTCTGCTCATAATTCATATTTCTTGGCAAAAGAAGAACGATTGCTAAGAGCTTTTCATGAGAGGAGTCATCAAATCTATAGTCACCATGCACCATAGTCTAAGCAAGGTAGTAGTTAATCCATTTCATAAGCTTTTTGAATTACAGCTGTTAATTAGCCTTAACAGGCCTTTGTATCCTCAGTGGTGCATCATTTAAAAAAAAAAAAAAGTGGATATATATGGCTATTTACCAAAACTATTGTATATCAACATACTTGTAGTTCAGTAATGTCTGTGGTTTATGAAGTACTGTAGAAGGCAGCTTTTTAGATATGTCAGACTTTTATTTCTGTCCAGGTATTGCTGACTTTCACACACTTACCACCATAGGCAGGGAACAGAAATTGATTACAAGAGAAACGAAACATTTGAGTCTTCTTTTTTGTCTGCTTCATCTAACTGGTGTTAGAAGGACATATCTTGTTTAACTTCTGACACCATATATATATAACTGCATTAGCTTATTTTGGTTTTGTTGTGTGGTTTTTTTCCTGCTTTTAACACTGGTTTTGCATGAGTAATTTCCAACCTGGGCATTCTCATGGAAGATACCCTGTCTTAGTCATCTGCGTTGCTGTGCTGAGGCAGAAAAATATGATAATGAAAAAAGAAAAGGGAGCAATTTTCTGCACCGGGAGTATATTATTTCTTCCGTCTGTTAATGCGTTACAATTGTCTCGGCACTTTTCCCTGATATGAAATGTTGGGTAGCTGATACAACAGACATGTCCCCTGACTTTCCCCAAATGTCTGCGTAATAAGTTTGAATTTCAGTCTGTTTGCATTGGAAATCTAGCATATGTTTGAGTCCTCAGACTTCAGCATGGGCAACATGAACATGAAGGCACTATCATAAGTTGAAACAGCGACTGCCGCTTTTGAGATCACAGTTGCTGAAGCTCACATGTAGCTCTTCCTGGCGCCAGAAACCTGTACATGTCTGGACCTGTGGGGTGGGTTTTATCCAGCTTGGAAGGGAGAGATTGGGGGGGTGGGGTGTTGGGGAAGCTGACTTGAAGGAAGATGCGTGGCACATGCAGCAGACCCCAGATCAAGTGCTCATAGGTAGACAGCCTGTGGGAGAACAGGAGAATACCATTGTTTCATATTGCCATTAATGTCTGCATTTGTATAATAAATGCATACGTAAAAAGGAGCCTGATCTAAGCTCTGGGAGTGCCATCAGGCGTCCATGGGCTGGAGAGACAGGCCAGCTAATCTGTTCTGAGACACAGGTGTAAAGGCAATCTTTCAGATAAGTGGATCCTGACCCATTTAGGGCTTTTAAAATCATAACTAGCACCTTGAACTGTATCAGTAACTCATCAGGCAGGCACTGCAGGGACCAATGCCAAGAACTGCTGATATACTATAGAGATTTCTGCTATTCAGAAGAACCGCTGTGTTCAGTGCTAGCTATAGCTTATGGGTGCTCTTCAATGGTAAATTTGTAAATTAAAAATATACTACTGTAGTGGCGTCAGGCACAAAAAAGTACACCCATCCAGTACTACAGTATTGCTCATTCATATAAAATATAAGTATACAGCAGAAGGTCCTAGCAGCTTATCCAACACTGAGGAAAAAAACAGATAAGAAAAGTAGAAGTAACCATTTCATTTTACTAATGTTTCTCGTCTACAAAACAATTTCCAGAGTACTTAAATGTGACCTTTTCCTAACCAGTGCAAGGAGATCATGAACATCAGGATAGACGATGTAGTGCTCGTTCCCTTCATTTGGATATGACGCATGCTGTGGAAAAATGCAGTTTTCTGGTTTAACTGAATCACTCTCATCAGCAACTCTTTGCTACAAGAAAAAGGCATTTTGCACTAATATCCATGTAACTACTTAAATTTCAAAAATAAGAACCTAACAGAACTATTTCTTCACTAAAATGCAAATGATTGCAAGAAATATGTGAAAATTGATGGGAAGTAATTTTAATCTCTGCTTCTGAAACTGGAAGGCCACTCTGACAAACGTTTTCGGATAGCTTAGTAAAGCACATCACCTGTATACATACTGCGTAGTATCTATACATTGCAGCTGTTACAGCTATCGCTTTCTTTTAATTAGTGGTCATCTTAAGCACTGAAGACTGTGGAGGTAAAGAGCTACGTTTTTAGGAGAAAATTCACAGCACCCTAAATCTTTTTCTGAATCGATACAGAGTATTATCAGTAATACACATACTAAAGAAGGGACAGAATGAGGTTACTTGAGGGCTTTACTTTGCTTCATCAATAACACGTTTCTATAGAACTCTGTAGCAATGACGCATATCTTGTCGTATAACAAAAGGCACTATAGCCTATTAGATTAAGGGCAGAATTCTCAAATAATTTGAGCATCGAAATTGTGCGGGTTTATGGTATTACTAGCACTATATTTGAAAAAGAACTTAAACTAGCTGAATTACAATTAACTTTTGTTTTGTGAACATGAAACTAAGTAACCTACAGATCTAGCTATACTGAATAGTATGTGGAGTGTGCTCAATGAAAAAAACACTTCTTCATATGGCAGGATAGTGATATTTTATTTTAATAGAGACATCCTTAACTGTATTTCCCTCTCTAGCCTGAGAGTCAAATCTAAATGTTCCTATTAACCCACTATGTTAAACAAACATCTCTATATTAAATTACTACTCAGGATGCTAATAGATGTTTTAAATATCTGTCGTTTCATTCAGGTGGAACTAGCAAGTAAGAACATCTTAGTCACTAAAAAGGTAGTGTAAAATGTAACTTGCTAGTTTGGTTCCTAGGGAAACCAAGTCCAGACGGTTAGGGTTATCAGCAAAGCTAGTATCCGTCTTCCTAAAACAAGGTGGCTTAACTGTTATGTACTGCTTTTGCACTTACTGTAGTGTTGTTTTACTGGTGCAAAATGTTGGAGAGTAAGCTGCTCTCTCATTAGACTATAAACCTTCAGAGGCAGGGGCAATATCCTGAAAAGCCACTGAAATTGTATATTTAGAAATTGCACCTCACAATCACAAATTGCATTATGTCATCATTATGTCAACATTTCACCTACAGATTCTATAGTCAGAAAGTGTTAGGGTTCCCAAATGTACCAAAAAATTATTAAAAAAAAAAAAAAAATAGAAAATTATGGTGCAGTAGACAGCTGTCTGGGCATATTTCTGGGCATAATCCATATCCATCTTTAGTGTGTCTTAATTTAGTAAACTGGCATGTCATGGTGAGTCCTGCCCTTCACAGATGCTGCTGTGGTAACTAAAAATTGTTCTGATTTCTGAGATGTCCTGGCAGTTCAATAGTGCAGTCAAAGTCACAGAAATACATATATGCGTGTGCTCCCCACAGCAATTCATGGTCTCTACAAACTACTCTGTATTGTCAAAGAAACCCCAGAGCCTTCCCTTCTCTTGTCCTTATCTTCTTCAAATAAACCTTGTACTCACAGTGCTGTGTTTTGATAGTGAAGAGGAACCAAGCACTTACATTTTATGTCCTCATAGTGGAATTAAAATGTTTTCCTGCTGCAGTAACACAGGTTTTCAAAATCTAGGGCATGGCAACAGATATTCAGTAGCTTTCCAAATACTTATCAATAGGAACTATGTAAATTTTAGGAAACCCTTTTTTTTTTTTTTTCCTTTTACAAAAAACAGTATTGAAAACGTTTAGAGTTGGAAAGTTGGAACTTTTCAAATTAATGCACTTACAGAAAAATATTCCTTGAAGCTATTATGTGGCATAAAGTTTAACCATTACACTGCTTTTCAGTTTAGCTCAACTTGTGATCTTAGGCCAACAGGGAACTCTTCCAAAGCTCTGTCATCTTAAGGCCGAAATCTTCTCCTGCTTCAGAGGCAAGTCCACAATGCAAAGTTAGACTCTGCGTTCAAGCAGCTTTTTCCAAAGATGAAGGGTTCCTATCTCAGTATCCAGTTTAAGGCCTTTCCTGTTTTCTCTTTAATTGTCATTAGAACAGTAGCTGTAATGGAAAGACCTGCTCTTTTAAGATATTTGTTGGAAGATGTAAACTTTGAGTATATTACAGCTTCACCCCATGCTCTGTGTGGTATTTTGTATTTCTGAATCTCTAGCCTTGATTCATTTTCCTCTGGCAGTTTTGCTTCAGTCCCATTGAGAAAGACACAAAAATTAAGTTAATATTATTCCCTGTTTTTTCTGTTTCTTTCTTTTTTTTCCCTTGGCCCAAGGAGGATGGGGAAAAGGTGTCAGATCAGCAAGTTTACCCTGATCTTATTTTGTGCGTTTGTCCTGCAAGAATTTTCAGAGCGGAGGGTGAGGAATAAGCAGAGGAACAATGCACAGGACCATAAGTGCTTAGTTATTTATCCTAATGGCTGTATGGGATGTCAGTGGGAGAGGCGGACCAGCACTTCTGTAGTTCCTTGAGGCTTTATGCTGAGGATAGGGAAATCATAATCTTTCTACTGTTTCTTCTGCTTCATCATTTAGACCACTGATGCAAAGTAGAACTGAAAGGTTTCATAATCTATTTTACCAGAAGATGTGTCAGTTAATTCTTTTTATTGGTCTTGAAGTCATTATGCCCCTGTGATGTGGCTTTTATCTCATTTCAGGATCCAAATAGCTGCAAGCATAATGGCTCCATTTGAGTAGTACTTACCCTATCCCCTTTCTAGTACAGTTTTTCTGCCTAAAGCTGCACATCTTCAAACACTTTGAGAAATCATTATGCGTATTCATAGCCTGCCTCATTAAGGTCAAATGTACGGGGTGGCTTCTCTACTCAATCTTCCCCTTCCTCTCTTCTCTCTGTCTTCACTTTTTTAACAGAAGTGGCACATGTAATAATTACTGCAATGACTTTGTGAGTAGACATTAAACAACCATAACTGTCGTATCCTGTGATTTTTCTGTCTTCTTTCTGTAA